CAGCACCTGGCTGGGGTAGCCGTAAATTGGATGCTGCAGAAAGATCTGAACTGGATTTGGGGCCGCATGTATTTTATAACTCGGGGTGCTGATATGATACCTCTCTATATTGAAGCCAGCGGCTTCCACCCAGGGACCATCCAGAGGACAGCCCCAGGCACTCCCAGTCCCACCAAGACATGATGGAATACCGACACTTGACAAATCCAAAACAGTGAGCTTGCTTCCTGGAAAGCATGTTTATTGCAAAGCAACGCCCGTTTTCTTGCCTGGCCCAGCTCAAGAGCCATATAGACCGTGGATTAAGGTACATTTTTTGGGATAGAACATCTGTTTTTTTTTGCGGTGCAAGGAGCATTATTTGCCACAGAACCTGGCCTCTCAAAGCATATAAAACTAATTACCCGACCACGGGGTCAATCGAGGAACAAATTGATTTCACACCCAAAAGCAGGTTTGTTTTCCGCAAACCAATGCTCTTGCACCACTTACGCACACTTACGCACCGTCAATGCACCGTCAATACACCGTCATGTCCGGTCCTTCATGTCTCCGGGTCCTTCGTCCTCCACGGGCTTATGTTGATTTCGTTCACGACGAGTCACGACGGATCCAGGGAAGATGGATCGGCACTATGGCCGCGTCTTGGGCGGCAAAAAAGGGCGGCATATGCCGTGCGTTTTCCAAGCGGCCGGCGACTGCCATGCGGCGATCTTGTGCGAGTGATCGTGAGTAGTGACCGGTTGGGGTGTGGATTTTTGAGGGTCAGATCGGGAAATTCGCGTTTGGGAATGAGATGGCCATGGTTCTGCAGCTTTGGAAGGGAGTGCATGATGCTTTATTAACCTGGGGCCGCCCCTCCCATGTTTCAAACCAGAGTGCAGCATGAAGAAAACTGATTTGGCACTATTACATATAGTAGGGAGTTGAATGGTGTCCATGATGATTGATTAGAGGTTCATGTTCCATCTCAGACTAAAGACTTAAATTGGGTATGCTTATTCCGCTCCGTTTTGCTTTGGATTCTTGCTCGGGCTTTTTGTCCCATAGCACAATTCATTGATATTCATGGCGCGAATCTCTTGTCACGATCTAGACGGATGGATCCAGAGCCTCTCCCACCGAGCTCGGACTGAGGACTGTTAGCCCCGGTGAAGCTCAAGTACGCTGATGTGTCCACCACCTCGGCCACGTCGGCTGAAACCGGCGGAAACCGAGCGCGCGATAGCGCGCGTCCGTTTACGCCGCTAAGAGCGTCGGGATCGGAGATGGGCCCGAAGAGCGTGCTGAAGAACCACTGTCGGGTGTTGTTTTAATAGATCGAAGATGCTGCAAAAATATATAGGTCCCACTACTGATCCCCTTAGGGTAGTTAATTAGTCCGTGAATTCGTCCCCAGTGTAGTCGACTGATTTGAGGGGGGCAAAATCGTTGCCGTTGGACTCGCTGCGGGGCGGCGCGAGACCTGAGGACTTCAAGTTCCGTGCCGGGGCACCTCCACGGATGCCGCGGGCAGAGAAAGCAGAGCACCTTGAATCCGAAGGGCGGAAGATCGTAAACCGAACCAAGCGCAACAAACAAACACACAGGCTACGAATGTGCCATTATAGGAAGAAAGTGTAATCATATTATCTCATCCTTTCGAGAATCTGATTTACAGTATTGTTATGTTGTCATAGCTATATAATCCTGGAACCTGATTGACCCCTGTTTGGAGGCCCAAACAAGGTCTTTTCCTATCAAAACAAAGGTCAAATGGGTTCTAGGATGTTATAGAACCATTTTCCTCAATGCCACCCCCATGTGAACTGCCTCACACTTCAAGACCGTTTTGGAACCGATCGTTCGAAACTCGCCTGCGATAAACGCGCCAGCTGAGCTGAGGCCAGCGTTGCCCGTGATCGAGGTGCCAGAACCAAGGTGCCATGGGGGAGGTAGTGATGGCTGTTCTTATATATGACGAAGCTGAGCAGCTCCAAAATCTGCAGAGACTAGGGGGTGGTGGAGTCAGTTCTTGACAGCTTCGTAGATCTGGCAGCTTGGGAAGTTTCAGAAAATTTCCATGAGATTCCGGATCCATCCACCCTCAGCCACCTACAGTCGCGCCAGTCGGACGGTTCCCCTTCACCCACCTCACCTTGTTTGGGCGAAGCTCCGCGCACGCAGGCGTCGTTGGCAGGGCAAGACGGCCAAGCCTCGCTTGGCGAAGCACCGCGAGTCGCAAGCACAGGCGAGGTGGACGTGGACGTGGAGGATTTAGGTTTTAGAAGGCAATGATTTGGTTAATTATGTTATATATATTGGATGAAAGCATGGACATCTAAGAAAAGCATGGTAGGCTCTCCCTGGTTTCCGTTCACCTGGTTTCGAGGAGTTCACACCATTTGGTTTGTAGAGGATTTGGTCTTCGGCTTGAGGGGCCAGGACGTCCACGCAACCATGATTCATTTCGGGGTTAGGCGATGCTTGAGACACAGCCAGACATTGCTTGACCAAGACACGAACGTTCTGCTGGGTGATGGGACATGATCCCAAGAAGCATCAAGTATTTATAGCTAGAACTCCACCAGGTGCACGGCAAAGGACCTTTGTCAACGAACCAAATCCCTTCTGAACCTACCTATTATACCTATTGCTTTTCAATCCCAGACCCTACCAACACTGCAGTTTGCAGCAGTATGTTTGTATATGATTTCAATCTGTTTCAACGAGGACTTCTCTTCCCTTTGGCAGGGGGGGCAGCGCCATACAGCGCCCCAAGAAAGCCGCTTCTTCCTTTTTTTCTTCAGGATGAACAGCGTAATGTAGACTCCATGAGTATTTCCATCCCCCGTATGAAGATGGCTGTTCAATTTGAACAACTTCCATCCAAAACGGGGGAGTGATAAATGTCAAATCCTTAATGTGCGTTTGTGTTTTTTTCCGTTGACTCAATAGTATGATCAATAAATGAGTCAACGGGAAAGCTGAAGGCCAGGGCAGCCAGGATTAAGGATGAGTCAAATGGAATGTTTGCCAGAAATCCCAGCTTCCTCGTTGACTCAAATGTGTTGTGGTCTGAATAAGCTGAGGGGGATGGAACAGGAAGCTTCTGACCACTCAGGTCATCCCACGCCCACGGCGGCGGGCGGACAGCACTGCAGCCGAGGCGCTCTTAGGGTCATGGATTGGGGGTGTCCCCATGACCTGTAACAGTCAGCAAGCAATTATCACGATTTTAGGGACATGCCTGATGCCTAATCATCATCATCATCATCATCATCATCATCATCATCATCATCATCAT